AATTGGCTGTATCAGTCACACCAAATGCTGTTCCAAGACCTCCATACAGAGCAGTTACCATAGCCTTTCGAGACTGAAGGATGCCTAACATTAACAGGTGAGATTACGTGATTTATTCATTCATTCATTCATTCATTCATTCATTCATTCATTCATTCATTCATTCAATTTGTATCCCACTCCCATTAGTGCCGAGGCATGCTCATGATTTCTGTCTATTCTTTCATATTGTTATGGGTCATGCAGGTATTAGAAATCATACCTGGTGCAAGTTTACATCTTGGAAGAATTGGGGGGGGGGGAAACACACCAAACCCACATGCCTGGCTTTTGGCAGGAAATGTTTAGTGAGTGTTGGCTCATTATGCAGTTGTCCTTGTGTGGGAAGGATGCACACACAAATCCCTTTTCTGCTCAGTGTGTTCCCCTTTCCCCTTGTCTTTGATGTTGCCTTAAAACTGCTCTCCTAACACTTTAACATTTTGCAAAATGAGAAGTAAATGGTTAGGATTTAAAAGAGAATTTTTTATGATGGGTGAAATTTCTGTGTTTTTCAGCTGTCGATGCAGAAAAACAAGTTAAATGCTTTTGTCGTCAGGCTTAGAAAAACACCACCACCCTCCTCCCGGAGGGACATTTCTCACTTTAAAAACTGCTCATCCATCATTTCAGTGGAACAAGATGAAGTATTGCAGTTTTTAACTTGTCTGGAACAGGCAGCCTTCAGATATGTTTCTTCAACAGAAACTCCTCCATGTTTACAGATGTCTATACCTAAGCTATGTTTGTCTCCTCTGGCATTTGTTTTAAATTTAGTGTGCTTAGAATGGAAAGCGGAGGGTACAATCTCATGCCCAGTTAACACAGAAGAAACTATGGATTGGGCCTTCTGGGTCTAAACAAAAGATCCCAAACACAGAAGAGGCTTGCTTTCATGTAATTCATATTGTTTTGATGACTCCTGAAACAGAACATCATCCAAAACAGGAATGTTTCATGTTGATGAAAGAAAGGTGCATGGATGTTTCATATTTCATTCATGTTCCTCTTCTGTGTAAATTTTTTGTGCCCGTCTGCCATGTTGCCTATGAAATGTTTCATCCAATAGTGTTGCGAAGGGTGTCAGCAGCTGATCAGAATGTCAGGGAGAGAGGAATTTGGAATCTGTGAAAGGTCCTGGAACACAGTGCACAGTGCTTTGGTATTCGCTCGTGGGATTACTGTGTGCTGAGCTCATGCCTGCCTGCCTGTTCACCTTGGAACCTGCTCTTTTTGGCCTTTTCCTCATGACTTATTTTTTGGGGGGGATATCCCCTCCATTTCTTTGGATTCTTTTTGTTCCGGTCAAGCAACCAGCCTGTGTCAGCATGGCTCATTTGGGTTATTTTTTGGATTTTTATCCCTGAAATACTTTGGGAATTTCCCCCCATTGTCTGTCTGTCTGTCTGCCTGCCTGCCTGCCTGCCTGCCTTCCTTCCTTCCTTCCTTCCTTCCTTCCTTCCTTCCTTCCTTTTCTACAATGTTGTCACTGTTTCCAAACCTGCCTGCTACTATCTCTGGGATATAAGGAAGAAAACAGAAGGCATTAAGTAGTGTTGGTGGGAGATACGTTCCTTGTATTCTAGTACTTTTGACTGAAGGAGATTTAATCGTTTTTGTTTTTGCCTTTATTTGCTTGTTGGAGTTTCTTGATTTTTGGAGAGGAAGTGTGTATTTTATTCTGGTATCCCCTCCATGTATGTGTGTGGGCAGGAGACTTTCCTGGTTTGAGTTTTTAAACATTGTTATTTGGTTCATTTATTGTGCACCTCTCCTGTGAAATGTGTATATTTTGGTAAAGGGTTTCAGGACTGCTTTGTTTGGTTCTGTGGAGGTGTGTGAGCCAGCAGGGCAGACTTTGCAAATGTGTCAATGTGTCACCTGGCTGTGTGGGTGCCTGTTGTTTCTGTTTGGCATTATCTCTCTTGTTTTTCTTGGTGTTGTGTTGTTGGCTGCTTTGCTGAGTAGTTAGTGTGTGTGTCAGGCAGCTTAGTGCCTGCATAGTCTGATGATTTTTCTCTTTTTTCATCTGTTGCCTGATGATAATGATGAATGTGATAACATAAACAAGTGCCTAAATAGTCTGATGATGATGATTTTCCTTTCTCAACTGTGCTGTTGCCTGATGAAGATGATGTGATTTGATAATGTATCAGCTACTGCCTGCATAGCCTGATCCTTCTCATTGCTGCCAGATGATTATGATGATAAGGTTGATGATTGTGATAATATAAACAAGAGCCTGATAATGACTTTCCTTTCTTATGTATTGCTGTATGCTTTTAGAGCACATCGATTCTCTGTTGTCTTGCCTCTGCTTTTTAAGAGTAGTTTTAAAAGGCTCTCTTAAAGGGACATGGTGGTTCTGCGGGCTAAACCGCAGAAGCCTCTGTGCTGCAGGGTCAGAAGACCAAGCAGTCATAAGATCGAATCCACCTGACAGAGTGAGCGCCCGTCGCTTGTCCCAGCTCCCACCAACCTAGAGGTTCGAAAGCATGCAAATGCGAGTAGATTAATAGGGACCAACTCGGTGGGAAGGTAAACAGCATTCCGTGTCTAAGTTGCACTGGCCATATGACCACGGAAGATTGTCTTCGGACAAAAACGCTGGCTCTATGGCTTGGAAATGGGGATGAGCACCACCCCCTAGAGTCAAACACGACTGGACAAAAATTGTCAAGGGGAACCTTTACCTTTTTTAAAAAAGGCTCTTTAATGCTTTTGGAGTACCAGGAAACACGAATGGAGAAACATGGGTGGGAAACCAAAAAAGTCTTTCCCTTTCATAAAGAAACAGATGGGTCTGTTCATAAAAATATGCAAATGGTAGAGGCACCCCTGAAACAAAAGAAATATGAAAAATGTTGTTGTCCAGAAACTTTGGTGGAATAAAGTGGGACTTAGTTCTGCATAAATATGCATCAGATAAAACCAGAGACTGAGAAAGTTTCTTTTTAGCTGTCAGTTCCCATAACTGACAATGCTCTATTGGGAGTTGTAATTAACAACAACAACTTTTCCAATCTCTAGAATAAGACAACTGGTCAAAGGGATATATGGTTAGTTATATAGGATTCTTCTAGGTTCAAAGGCAGTAGGCTTCTGAATGCCAGTTCTTGGGAATATGAGCAAGAAGGTCTGTTGATTTCAAAACCTGCTTGTGGTATTTGGCTGCCAATCCATGGCAAACAAAATTGTGGATGAGACAGACTTTAATTGTCCAGCAAATGCAGAACTAGATAAGCTTTGAGTTTGGTCTAGTGTGGTTACTTGATTTTTGTGGACTACAGGTGCCATAATCTCCCAACGAGTGTGACCAACCACTATGCCAGTTGGGGGCATCTGAGGATTTTAGCCTCCGAAGTTACTTTTCAGAGTTCTGCTTCTTACATAACTACTGCGATCGGTAGGGAATTTTAAGAGTGGTGTGTATTTTGTGAACTGGCTTCAAAAGCGGGTGCCTTCTTACATCTCTGGCAGTTAATTTTATCTCATACTAATATCATATGTAGCAAAGGGAATCCCATTTGACCAAAGTGGAATATGGTTACACTCTCAGGCAATCTATGTTACGGATCAAAATCAGTATTCTTTGTCTGGTGTGTGTTGTGTTGTGTTGTGTTGTTTGTGTGTGTGTGTGTGTGTGTGTGTGTGTGTGTGTGTGTGTGTGTGTGTGTGTGTGTGTGTGTGTGTGTGCTCTCAGAGTTCTAGGTGTGGTTTCAAAGAAGGGGTCTGTCATTAATTTGTTGTAAATAACATAAATTTCTGCACTCAAGCTCAAATGACTTCCTTCTTTTTTTTACTGCAAGTGTAATAAGATCATTTATCTGAGTGTAAGCAATGTGTGAGTTAATATTAAAGGCTTCTGTCCTATTTGGCTTTCTTCAAATAAACAACTGTTTCCTTTTATTATCTCCATCATATCTAGAATTCTGCTCCTATTATTATAAAAACTATTGACAGTACTCTTTGGCCCTTGATTCACTTTTGCCCTGTTCACCCTGAAGAAAAACTTTGCCAGGATTTGGTGTAGTTGAAAGTGATCTTTAAAAATCCCTAATGAGTCCAGAGGAGCCTGTGCCATGCAGAAGACTGGAGTATAGCGGTGCAGTCCCTATGGACGGTTCGGCAGCTAGCAAAATCCCGAGAAAGGGGCTATGCTGATAAAATTTTGGTTTAGAAAATGAGAGAACTGGAGAGCAAAGGAGCTTTCATTCTCCAGCGAGCAGGGATTAGGCACTTATCATCTTGATACAGATAACGGAATGTCAATACAAGTGTGCAGAAGGGGCAACGGAAGGTCAAATTCCTTGTAATGATATTGTGCATGGCACCTGTCCTTGTATTTTATTTGAGTGCTGTGAGATTTTACCTTCAGAGCTACTTTTCTTTGTGCCTTGGATCATTAAAGAAAAGAAGACACCAAGAGACAAGGAGGTCTTGAGATTTGTTCCCTGGCCTTCTTGCATGCAACTTGTGCTCTGGCATCTCACGGTGCATGGAATCCACATGGCATATATTTACATAGAACGCACTTTGGACTACATCCATTTTGCTATTGTGGTTGATTTTGTTATCTGATTTAAAGGTTCATGCCTTTGCAGAGTTGTGTTTGGAATACCTCAAAAAATAAGAAGTAAGAGAGGGCCCAGCAGCACTTATTTTTCTGAAAACTCATCAAAAACCTCCTCATTCTTAAGCAGAAGCCTTCATAGCATCATAATACATATTTTAATAGTGTGCTTTTCCAAAAAGAAAAGAAAAGAAAAATATAATAAAATAAATAAATAAATAAGGAAAGGTAGTTGGGTGTTGCTCCTGTAGTCCCATTCTGGCTCTAGCCTTCATGGAAGACTCTATACCTGCAAGATCGTCAACAGCTCTTTTACAGAACCACACTTCTCAGAACGTATCTGGGACAATGACCCAAATGGGATGAATGATTAAAGGAGGATACGTACCCTTACAACTGTTACCAAGCCTTCATTGGTAACAGGATCGGTCCTGACGGTGAAATGACCAGAAGGGTCTCCACTGATAATCCGGTAAACAGCATTCCAATTGGGTGAATGTGGCTGATCTCGATCCATCACCGTTAAATTAGCAACCACAACTTCCACTCGGTTTTCTGGGACTTCACCGGAAAACTGGGGGCAGGAAGAGGAAAAGAAAGTGCCGTTAGAGTTATCTTCACAGAATGGCAGACCAATTGTGAGGGTGCAGAAAACCAAGTGAGCACATATAATCAGATGAACATAGGCAATGGTGGCTTAGTGTGATAAACAACTAACGGCAAGTTGCAATTAAATTAGACCCTTTGAATCAATGCAACTTATAGAGGGGTTGACTTACCACATCCTCATTGATTCATTGGGCTTACTTTAGTGCAATTTGGTAAGCTCAGGAACAGGGTTTTGACCATTATCTGTAGATTTGGTATAGGCTGACCCACTGAACTAATGGGACACATACTTGTACAGATCAGGAACAGAGAGAGGAGCAGAGAGGAGGGGGGGTTTATTGCTCCTAATCCCACCCATCTTGTTCATTCTTAAAATTCCCATTACCTTCTACATCTCCTTCTACCACTCTGTGCAAGAGGAATTGTCTGGAACTTCAGTTGAAGTATGTGGAGTTCCAGATGAAGTGTAAGGGACATTTATGCCAACTGCTCTTTAGCGTCATCCTTATTTCTTTCCAGTGATGGCATGGCGATCTACTTCTTCCCCATTACTTAACCTCTGAAATGAAACTGGCTACTCTTAACCATGACCTCTGCTAACCTTGTCCTGTTTCATTTTTACAGAAAAGCTTGCCTTTCACCAAATAATTGCAGTTTTCCATTAACCCTTGGCTCTTTTGTGAGTGTAACATCGAACATGTTTGAAGAGTTTACCCATGTTAACTAAATCAGAAAACTGCAGACATGTAGTGGATCCGGACAGTTATATATACCAGCACCAGGATATGGGACTTTGGTCTTACACAATGTGCTTGCAAGATTATCTAGATTCAGATTTGATGGGACAGATGTTCCATCTACTGCTTCCCTAAAAGTTCCCTGTCTTTTCCACCTGCTGAAGGCACAGAAACATTTCTTCACATTTGCCATAACTTTGTTCGGCTGTAAATGGAAGCCTGCTGTTTCTCATCCATCCTTCTGAAAATGCTGTTTAACTAATAAATAAATGTTTAACTAATAAATAACAACAATAATAACAACAATAATAACAATAATAATAACAACAATAATAGCAATAATAATAATAACGATAATAATAACAATTGGATGTGCAAATTAGTTTTTTTTTAAAGAAATAATCTTTTTTGTTTCCATCATTTCTTTCTAAAGTTTGATTTAGGCAAAAATCAAAATGAGGCAGAATGAGCCCTCAAAGCCTGCATTTACTCCTTCATGAGAAAGTGGCACTTTTATGTTCATTTAGAAGCTTATAAACAGAGAGAAGCGGTTTCATCAAACTACTTGGCTTTCGGAGTCTTGCGCAGAAGTGCGCAGAAGTGCGCAGAAGCTTCCTCCGGGAACACAATAGCCTTTCATCTGTAACCTAACACTCTGGTGCGTTCAAGCCCCGATACTATCATCTTGTTAGGAAGAAAAATTGTGAATTTATCCAAAATGGGATCTCATCCCAGTCTCAATGATGGAGCTTCTGTACCAATGACCTTTAACAACCTTTCAGTTCAACAATAGAAGATCTTTATATTGCAAGTCAGAGAACGGAGAAGGGAGGGAGGAAGAGAAAAGGACATGTTAAAATGCTGGTCCTATAAAAAGTGTGGGCTTCCATTTTAAGGTTATATTGAACATGCTTTTTCATTAAAATCACCTTTGTTTGGGCTCTGAAAATAGATAGTGTACAACAGAAGCTATCTGGAGACATCTGGGAGGAATATTTGATGGCGGAGTATAAACCAGTAGTGATGCTCCAGTGAGAACTGTTGGAATTCATTAAAAAATGAAAGGAGGGTAACTGGCTTGTCCCTTCACCCACATCATAGTTTCATTGACTGAGCAAAATTGGAACTCTAAACCACAGTAACCCTCGGAAGCTACTTGTGGCTTAGGCTGTGAAACAAAATGACAAAATGATCAGAAACTGTTTTGAATTGAATGTAGTTGTTATTAGGTGACATCAGGCCACCTTGAACTTATGGTGACCTTATACTGTATATTAGTGATCTCTGAAAGGTCCTACCAACATTATTGCTCAGTTCTTGCAAATTAAAGGTCAGGGTTTCCTTTATGGAGTCAACCTGCCTCATCACTTCTTTCCTGCTTTCATGTTTTCCTGACATGATTGTCTTATCTTTCCATGATACATCCAATGTACATGAGCCTCAATATAACCACTTTAGCTTTCAGCGAGAGTTTCAGGGTTGACTTGCTTATAGAACCTACTTATATGTTTTGTCTGGTGGTTGATGGCGTCTGCAACTCTTTTCTTCAACACCACATTTCAAATAAATCAATTTATTCTCCGTCAGGATCCTTCATCATCCAAATTTCACATTTATACATAGTATTCTGCGGCATCAATGATCTTGCTCTTAGTCTCCTGCAACACATCCTTATTTCAAGATCATTTCTAGTTCCCTCATAGCTGTCTTTCCAAATCTCAGTCTTCTTCTGAGTTATAAGGCATAGAAAATATGTAAGCTGGAACTTTATAGGGACACTAGACCTGTCCAGCTATTATCTACCTACTTCTAGGCAATACACTTAGGGAGGATCATGTAGCTCCCCTCATTGTAGTTTTCTGCACATGGGGTACGATTTATCTGAAGATCTAAGGTAAAGGTTCCCCTTGACATTTAGTCCAGACGTGTCTGACTCTAGGATGTGGTGCTCATCCCCCTCTCCAAGCCGTAGAGCCAGCGTATGTCCATAGACAGTTTCCGTGGGCATGTGGCCAGCACGACTAGACACGAAACATCGTTATTGGATGCATGTAGATCTTCAGATCTACATGCATCCAATACATTTGCAAAGCCAGGGTTTTTCTTCATATGGTAAACCTATACACAACCAGGAACCTCCCCATTTTACATTTATCATTCTCCATGTGGGAAATGATGGAAGTGGAGGGGTTAGCTGCACTTCTCTAAGTGTGTTGCCTGGTTTGGGGGGTCTCTTGATGTTTACAGGACTGGGCTCAAAAAAACAAAACAAAACAAAACAGAGGTCATAAATCATTGCATGTGTGAAATGCAACCTTAGACCCTGGCATGAATGTTTTCTTGTGTGACATCTGTATTCCACGTCGTATGTCTGAAGAAGTGGGCAAAGAAGGTCCACAAAAGCTTACATTAAAATATAACAGTCTTTGAGGTGTTGCTCTGGTTTTTTTTTTGTCTTTTTAATTCTTTTTGGGTTTTTTTTGCCAGATATGCTTGCACAGACTAACACAGTTACCTCTTCTTAAGCTGAGAACTGGATAAGTAGATTGAACAAGATTACTCAGCTAGGACAGCTGTAGATTCTCCAAGCCTGTTCATTTGTACTTGCTCCAAACAGGTATTTCGCTGGTACCTCCAAGCCTCACTTCCTCCACCACTCAGAGGCAGTGGCCAGAGGAGGTGAGACAGGAGAGACAGGATGCTTGCTGGGAGTGGGTGCTCCCTGGAGAAGGCAGGGCTGGGAAATGCAGAACAACTGTTCAGACAAAGTACAAACTGGCATTAACCACCAAAATTGGTGGTTCGTGCCCATATCTACTAGCAATCACTCTAAATCCTCCACCCTCTCATTGTTCCTGAAGGCCTTGTTTCTTGAAGCCCATATTTCTTGAAGAAATATGCTTCTATACTATATATAGACCCACATTCCAGGCTCACACATGCGCACATGCACATGCACATGCACACGCCACACACATGCGCACATGTGCGCGTGCGCGCGCGCACGCGCGCACACACACACACACACACACACAGAGATGTTGCATATATATCATGCTGCTATAAGAATATTTTACTAATATCTGTGCATTCCTTTAAACTATGTTGCATATATATGTTACTAATATCTGTGCATTCCTTTAAACTAGAGACAAATATATTTCAATACAAGAGCAGGGGGAATAACCATCTTCCTATCCTGTTTGTAAGCTTTTCAGAGCTCTGCAGCAGATCATTTCTTACATTCTCACATTAATACAAATTTTTTCCTATGAAACAATTCATAAATGCAGTTGATAACTCTCACTCTGTATTTTGCATGCTTGGAAGATAGTTTAATCCATGCCAGTATAATACAGTTTTTATCAAGGAGGTGCCAGTGTCTTTTAAATCTAGTTTAGGATTTTCGTATTAGCCACCCACTTCCCAAATGAGTTTCAGATTTATTTATTTTTCCAGGCAGCAAAGTACACACAAGTTTCTCAAGATCCTGAAGGATCAGAAGGGGGAAGACCTGTGAGGATACTCCATTGGTGCCTTAATTCTTCCATTCAAAATCCTTTGGAGGGGCAAAAACAGGAATATGTCACTGGAATGGGACCCATTAGTCATGTACACTAGATCTCTAGGAAAGAGACCAGTAGAATCTCAGTAATACTGATTCTTTACATAAGTCTGTTGTACCAATACATTTTTTTCAGTGGTCACATGGCATATATATCAACAGGAGTATTCACATTGTTTTTAACTGCATCAATTCATTTCTTTCTATTTGAACTATCATAGCAGACTACACTGCTCTTTAATTTTGTATCAGTTCATTTTCTCTACTGTTTCTTGAGGCAAACAGTTCCCCCTTGTTGTTGTTTTAGTTACCAAAGGTGATATATCAATAGAGCAATAGTGCAGTATGAGCCTTCTGTCCTTCTTCCCTTTTCCCTTCCCTCCTTTACTCATTCATCCCTTTTCCTTTATTTCTCTCCATATCTCTCCCTTTCTTTTCCCTTTTATACAGCATGGGGAGAAGGAAGCATATTGTGAAGATCAGGTGGTTATTTTTAAAAAGAGAGTAGATGTTAATGTTATACCCCTTTCTTTACAATTCAAAGCAAGAAATGACTCTATTTCTAGCCCTCGTGCACCCACAAAGGAGGGAGGAGAAGGCTGCCAACTTTGAGCTGTCTCCTTCTGAGCAATATATTCATGTTGAAAACAAGTGGCTTCCGAT